AATTCCTCGACAAACCGAAATAAAATTTCTTTCTCGAGAGGACTCAACTCCATCGAGCTAGTCTGCAGCAAATGATTACTAGACTCAATGAGACTGATAAGCGAAATTGAGAATGCCTTTATGAAATTTGTGTACTTAGTGCATTTTGCTTCTCCACTCTTGTATAAACTGAATCTTGTACTGTGCGATAGACAGGTTGTGTCGTCATTTCTTTGTCTAGGCGATTTCCGTATGGAAATAGCCAGGCGATATTCAACTGCAGTCCTTACAAATTGCATCCTGTCTGATGTGTGTTTCCACGACGGCTACATTTACGCTGCTCCGTCTTTGCGTGTCCCGAAGATTATTAATAATGTCGTATCGACTCTTCAGATGATTCTGTGTGCGTTCTGCCTTAACTGGATGTGAATACATATCACAAGAAATAAATTTCAAATTTAGACCGCAGGCAGATTGGTGTAGCAGTAATGTTTGCTGATACCGCGAAATACGCTAAAAATACGTCACGTTCGTCTCCTTTTAAATCCTCACCCGTTCGAAATTCACCTTAACTGAATTCGGTTTGATGTTATAAAACGTTTGCAATAAAATAACGTCGTTTAGTAAAATCAAGTTATCTTATTTTACAAACTTATACATGTTCTTATCCCATTTGAATCTATAGGACTTCTCCATTTGATATGTCTTTGTTAAATAAATTATTAACGAACCGAAGAGATGCCTTTTAAAGGCGGTGTCGTAACGAGCAGTGTTCGATACTGAGATTAATCGATTGATTACTCTTGAGGGTCTTGATCGATCAACATTTTTCTATTACCGGTAATTTTATTGGTTATTCCCTATACTATTTTTCATAGTTCATTTAACGACGCTTTTTCGGTTGCATGTGTTGCAGCATATAATGCTGAAAGGGAAGATATTATCGAACATTGAATTTGGAAAGATGTCGTATATTTTAAGAATGTCGCAGAATTTGCGTAGAGAAATTGCAGAGAGAGAAGGGAAAGTCTCAGCCAGAATAATGGATCTCCAACTCGTGAATTAAACCCCTGGATATCAATTGTCGATCGATCGAAATCAGTAATTCTTGTCCGAAGGTTTCCGCAACTGGAGTTCAGTGTACAAATTTCGCTCAGCTGTGAAAGATGTTTTCGACGTCTGTGGAACCAGAAGGCTCATTACCGTGTTTACAGAAGCACGATATTAGATCCTGTCCAGGTTCAGTTTTGTTCAGTCCACGCACGCACCAATACTCCGAATATCCAGTTTGTCGTATTCCCTTCTACGTCTTGGTCTCCCAAGTGGTCGCTTACCTTCAAGTGGTCTCTTTAAGACTTCGTTATATGCGTGTAATAAAGCGCAAATATTGCTCCAGAACAGGGCCTATGAGTAGGTGAGCTGACCAGCGCCTGACAATGCTACCCAACTGCTGTGAAAGTAGTGCGGACATGTATAAGCATCCGGAGTTCTCGCAGTTCGGAGTTGGAAACGCCGTGCCGCGTGTTTTGTCCAGTCGCGTGTTGTGTCATAAGGGACATATCTTATCCAGAATAACACGTGTTCTCCTTATCAATCCGCGATGTTGAAATACAAAAAAATTCTTTTATCGCCGTTAGTGAATATCTTCTGTGATACGTGTCGCCTTAATGCAGTTATTGAGAAAAAATTCTGATGTATTTCAGCTCCGGTGTCCGCTACCCACAGTTTTGTTTCACGATGCTAAGAAATTGCGCGTGGCCTATTAGCCGTTAGTCCGACGTTTCAGCAATAGACGTTTCTTCTCTTTTAAAAATCTAGTTCACTTTCG